ATTGAAACAGACAGCTTCCATTAGTTATCTCCTTCTACCCCCTCTCTGACCTCATCCTCCACAAAGGCAAAGTATGCCTGACCCTTTTCCTGGAGAAAGTGGTAACAACTTTATACTTTTCAAAGTTAAACTGTTGAAAGGTTCCACTTTATCTTTCCTCTGCCAAAAGATAAACATAGGTAATTTGGGGCACTACAAGGTATATCTGAGTTGTGATCATTAAACATTTTAGGCAGCATGAATTTTCTGAACATTGAATATACTTCAGACAGAAGTACTGAATACACTTCAGAGAGAAAACAACAATACTTCAAGTGGAACAGACCATATTTTTCCTTCTGAAAGGAGAAAACAAAACAAATAACGGCAAAATTTTTGGTTATCAAGATATACAGTACAAGAGAACACAGTTCTTACAGACAAAAACAAGTCAAATTAAGATACAAAAGACAAACTAATACCCAAAAAGACCAAGTTAAAGAAATGAGAAGAATCCATAAACTAATAGGAACCAAGCAGATGAGTCACAGACAAGTGTCATTTTAAGGACCTAGGGAGGAAAGATGTGAATAGGGGGAGGAGATAAGTAGGGCTCTAAGAATTCAGAAGCATTAAAAAAACAATCCCAGATCTACAAGGACTGAATAGAATGTTTAGAACGGCCACCTGACAGTCCCAGAGACAAAAGATTGGTGAGCTTTTGGAATAAGAGAAGGAAAAATATAGCAACCAAGGTTAAGAGCTGTGTGTTAATAGGAGATCCAAGTTTAAGATTAATCAGGTTTTCAAAAAATCATTTAAGTATCACAATTTTGCATAGAAATCAGTTCCTGAACACACTTTGTAATGAAGTTAATATTCTGAATCCAAATCATAATTAAAAGCACAGAGTGATGAGTGTAAGGGGAGATTTTATATCATTCCAACTAATTCCTTTATTATAGACTAGTCAACATTAATATTTATACAAACGTAATTTTGGTGACTGGAGTCAAAAATGACTGTTTAAGATTATCCAGACCCTAGTCGGAAAGGTCTTTTCTACCTGACTCCTGCCTTTTGTCTGTTATCTCGCTTATGAGCACCTAAATGTGATAATTAAAAGAAAGTGGAACTCAGAGGCACAAGAAAATAATTTATTTGGGAAAGGGTAAAGGGAGAGCTTGAATAAGTGTTTGTTTTAAGAGAATTCACAGAATTCTTATGTATTAATTTCTCTTATTGTATTTAAAAGAATGAGTTACAAAAAATTGTTCTGTATATAACTGTTCAGATGAACCTCTACTGCCTACAATAAAATTTTTAACTATACTGGAAAACAGTGAGATGAGGAAGGCTGAAGCTAACTAGAATAAAGCTTGAGAAATTTTCTGTGTACCTTATTTATTCATGTTATTCCTGTCCACTAACAGTAAATATATTTGAGCAGCCAGTAGCTTTGGCTTAAGGATTCCAGGGTGTACATTAAATCACTTTGCAGAAACAATAAGCTTTTGGTTGGCTTTAACTAGAGCAAAAGCACAAAATTTCATATATAGCACAAGTGTATCATGTTTTTTTCCAACTGTGTTGAATACATGGCTTTTTTTCCCCCACAATTCAAGCCAGCAAAGAGAACCAGAACTAGAAATTTCCCATCTTATTTAGTGTTGGACTTTCCCACTTGGAAGTTTTTTCCTAGGAAAGGTTAGCATACAAATTATCAATGGTATGTAAAGAAATAAAATACAACTGAAAGATTTGGACATATTTAGAATAATTTCTAACAGAAACCATGCCATTTTTATAGCTTAACAAATACTAAAATAATTCACTATAAATATGGTTAATAAAATCAGTTTATTTTTTAAAAATGGGCACATACACATTAAAATGTCAGAACTGAATATCACTTATAAAACCACTCAAACATATCACTTTCCTGGTTACTTTTCTCTCTGGTAAGAGACCATGAAAAGGTCCACAAACAGTACAAAAAGACCCAAAAAACCTCATTAAAACTTTCATTATACTCAAGTATTAGTCCCCCCAATTCCACTGTGTAAGCAGGCATAAACTTTTATCAAAACATGAAATAAATCTTTCCTACTTCTCAACTGGTCTGACATCAAAATAGCAAGAAATCAGTAACTCCCAAGACAGTATTTTACCTTGGCAAATTCCTTTGATAAATCTTTCTAGTCTAATCTCACCTTCCTCTTTGTAGGAGTTGTCTCAGAGACATCATAATCTCAGCAGTCCCCATTAAAACTTTTGTGAGTCAATCACATGACATGTATGAAATAGTACTGTAGGATATTTTAAAACCTGAAAAAAAAAATCTATTGTATGCTGTTCTAGGAAAGGTCACAATTCTAAGTTTTCATTTATTTTATTAATATTTATGTAATAACTCTCCCAAGGTAACTATGACTTAATCTACTGCCTAGAAATTCTAGAAAGAAACTCTAGAAAGTCATTAATGACTTTCAAAAATGACAAGTCAAAAATTCATAGGCCCCACAGTAACAATACCAAATTTAAAATTTTTAATTTTTAAAATAAAAAAAATTGCTCCTGAACTTATAACAATTAAACAGTAAACATATATACAAATATATATGTGAATAAGTACAGAGTAGTTACAATCTTAATACTCACAAAACTGAGCTAAAAAAAATACCAATGGAAATCACATTATACTATATATACAAAGTAGGTGCAGGTGTAAATATTCAAAAATTAACAATGTTGATAGTACTTAAAAAAAGTCAGACCCTTGAGAATATCTTCTGATATTCCAGCAGAATAACTGCACAAGCCACTCTGTCTTTAAATATTCATTTATATTTATTTATATTATTTATATTTATTTATATTAGTATAGTATTTATACTAATACACAACACCATCAAGCCCAAAACAGGCTGTTTTGCGAAAAATGTCTTGTTTTAAGCGTGCCAATAATGCATTTTTCCGAGCATTTTCAAGTGTTTTTATTACAGCATTTAATAGAAAAAACTTGTTTTGTGATATGGTTAAAAATCACTCTGCCCATTTCTGCAGGCATCAAATACAAATGCTTGGCAGATCATGATGGAAGAGAATTGTTAGATCAAAAATGAAAAGAAAAATTAACAAGTGTTCTAAGTGGCCATGAGTCAAAATAAGCACTTAAGGTAACACACTTAAGTGTTCAATAAGGTTGGAAAGGAAAACTGGGGTTTGGGGGGAGGGGGAGATGACAAGATATTAAAGCATACATTAGCAACTGAATCTAGGTCACTGATACATACTGTCTTAAGATTTGCAACGTTAATATCATCTCATCCCACATTAACTGGAATAATCTCTTTCAAACTGAGCACAGTTTACAATTATTCTTTGTTCTCTGGGGAATTAAGTTTCAATAATATCAAAGGATAAAGGTTGAGATAGTTGCTTCAATAAAACAGGATAAGAATTAGTAACAAAATGCACTATAGAACGTTTAATTCTAATACATTTTTTCATGCTGGATCATTTTCTACCTTGGATCATTAAAAAAAGGAGGGAAACACCACCATTCCATCCCAACGAGTAAGTGTAAACGGAAAAAAATAAACTTTAGTTTTGCTATGTTAAAAGATTTGCTTAGAAATGCTAAGAAATCCTGACATCACTCCAGCTGGCCACAAAGCCAAACATTCAGCAATTTTTTGGAAACCTATTTCTACTTTTAACACAACTCTCTCCTTAGCTTTAGCATTTAACAAAGTAACTGACATTAAATTTTGCTAAACTACATTATTTCTAAACAGATTTCAAATTTAGGGATCAAGCAAAAATAGAAGGAATGTTTGAGACATGCTTGCCCACATCTCAACTAGTAACTGATCACTAAATACCCTCTAAATGTCCACACAAGCAGTAAAAATTAACCACCTAAGAAATCAACCTTCATAGGTTTTATTTATCCTTCACAAGCCACTAATTAACTAAACAGCCTCTTCATATCTTCTTGAAAAGGGATTAAATTACCTTTATAGAAATGTCATTTACGATAAAAGTTTTTAGGACCTAACTGGTCATAGAAAGTATAAGGCCCAACTACCATGGTAGTGGAGCTCCAAAAAGCTGTTAGGGTCTGAGTACTCTGACAACCCTTTAAGGTTAAGTGCTGCATTGTGCCCATTTTACAGATTAAGAAACTGAGTGTTGGAAAAGGTAGCTCCATCGGCCAATGCTTGCGCGGCCGTCTTAACCCCTGCCCTCGGTCCGTTACACCGGGCGGCTTCCTCGGGGGCGATCCTTCATTTCGGAAGGAGGCGGCCCGCGACGTCTCTTATTTGGGCATTAAGGCCGACGCCCGCGGGGCCGAGGTCACCGGGCAGTCCGCCGGGTCCCGGCCTCCTACACCCGGCACTCGACCACCAGCCCCGCGGCTCCGGGCTCCGCCAAGTCCAGCAGGTCAGGCTCCAAGGCACGCAGGCGGCCGGCGGGGAGTGGGCGAGGGGCCGAGGCTACTGATCGCGTCCGTCCGAGTTGCAGAGTCCAGACCGGGCAGCGCGGGGCCGCGGTCAGTCCGGGAGGAGAGGCGAGCGGGAGGCGCAGGGCCCGGGTCTTCGTGCCCGCGGGAGGTGGGTGGAGGAACATCCAGGAGCCTCGGTCCGCGGGGAGCCGGAGGGGGCGCTGCCCCGGCGGCGGGGCCCGAGAACGGGAGAGAATGCGCGGTTGGGGCCGGCCGGCCGCCCGCCCCCCCGGTTAGCCGGGGTCCGCTTCCTCCGGCGCGGCCCGGAGGGAGGCAGGCAGACCGGCGGGCGAGGAGAGAGGAGAGAGAGGAGAGAGCGGGCAGGCTCCGCGGCGCGGCCCGTCCCCCGCCCCCTCCACTTCACCCTCCTCCCTTCCTCCTGCTCCCCACCCCCCGGCAGGACCGCGCAGCGCAGCCCCGGGTCCGCTCCTCCTCCTCCGGCTCCTGCTCCTCCCGCTCCAACGTCGGCGGCTCCCGGCTCTCTAGGTCGTGGGGCAGACGCACTACTTACCCGCCGCGAAGGGATTTACGTAGCGGGCCTCGTCACTGATTACGGGCGGGAGGAGGTGGAGACGGAGACCCGAAGCCCCTGAGCGGCGCCGGCGCCGCCGCCCAGCAACCCCGCCGACTGCAGCAGCTGCGGCGACTCCACGTAACCCCCCACGTCAGCTCGGATGCGACGACGGCCTCTTCGCCGGGGACCGGGGGACGAAATGTAGCTCCGATGCTGCGGCCGGCTCGAGCGGCCTCCTCGCACCCAGCCCTCCCCTCCCCCACTCCCTCCTTACCTCCCTCCGGCACACGCAGCGGAAAAGTTCAAAGCTCTAACTCCGCCCCCTTTCGGCCGCGAGCGGGCGGGCGGCGCTGACAATTCAACAATTAAATGGAACGAGCTGGAAGGGGGCGGGGGGAGGGGCTGACCCGTAGGGTGAAGGGGGTGGGGGAAAAGAAGGGAGCCTGACTGAGGGGCGGGGCCTGAGGGGAGGGGCGGGATGGGAGGGCAGAGTGGGGAAGTGGAACCGGAACCAACCGCGGCGCGCGCTGCGCTCGGAATGCCAATTGGTTGCAAACACGCTCAACTCCGCTGGCCCGCCCCAACCCCCACCCTTCCCCGCCCGCCGGGCTCGAGTGCTCGGTCTCCTCTACCCATAGCCGCCCATGGGGACTCTTTGCGATCTCTTGACCGTTGTCCGGGCGTGGAAACCTGAAGAGAGGCGCTCCTCCGCCGAGGGAGAGCCCTGCCGGCTTCCGGGGCAGGAGCGGCGGGAGGAGGGAGGCCGTCGGTGACCGGCCGGCGTAGGTTTCCTGCCTGCTGTGACCGCCGGGTCGAGCGCCGCGCGTCCTCCCTTCGCTTCCTCGCCGTCATAAACGCCCTCTTGACAAGACTCGAGCCCTGCGGGTTCTCGCCCTTCCCGGGGCTCAGGCCGCTGTGTTTGTTCCGTGACCTTAGAGTGGCCTTGACCTTACCTCTTGTCTCCACCCCGGGGCTGCGGCGGCTCCGCCGGCCACTGCCGGAGGTCTCAGCCCCGGACACCCCCCCGGGCCCGGGAGAGGCTGGGGCGCCCTTGGGGCTGGTCAGCCGAATTCTCGGGCGTGCTTTTAGGGGGAGGCTGCCAGTAAAAGGCATTTGTCCCTGAGGGAATGGAAATGGGTATAGGTAAAGTGCCCGCAGTCTAAGGCGGCGGGTTCTTAGTGTCCGTGGATAGATTCCTGGGGGTCTCTGGTCTTGAGGGGGAAAAAAGTTACATCTTTTTTTTTCGTCATTCATCTCTAAACAGGCATTCAGGAAACAAGCATTAAATCTTACAGTATGCCAGGGACAGTGGCATACAAAACACTGGAGATAGAAAGGCAAAAGATAGTCCCTATCCCAAGGAGCTCAATATGCAAACAGCTATGCACAAACAAGTATCTACCAGATAAATTTCTTGCAATCCCACGAGGAAAGCACTAACAAACTAAGGGAAAATCGGAAAAAGACTTCTTGTAGAAGGTGTAATTTTAGCTGGGACTTGTCAGAGAAGCTAGAAGGTGGGTTAAAGGAGCAAAGAATTCCAAATATGAGGAAATCAGTGAAAACGCATGGAATCAGGAACATACAGTCTTGTGTAATCAAGTAGTATTTGTAAAGCGCTTTAGCTATGTAAATGTTAGCAACTGTTCCAGGACCAGCAAGGAGGCCAGCGTCACTGGATCTTCTGGTGTTTAAAAAGAATTTTCTGAGAAGCTGTCTGTAGGTTTCACCACATTGCCGAAGGGATCCTTGTCCCAACAAATACAAAGAATCCCTGGTCTAATACGGTTTTTGGACATGTCTAACGTAGAAGTTTGTTTTTCTGGACTATGCATATTTGTTGTGAAGGTTTTATTTCTCGTTGGTTTTGCTCAATAACTTAGGTAGAGAAAAATGCTTGTTAAAAAATGTATGCATATATCTCGCTATATCTATAGATAAATATATTGATAAATATTAAACCCTAGTCTACGGGGATTGGGTTCTTGGAGGGGCCTACATAATCTGCCATCTCATGCTGAAACCTAAAGATACTTTACAAGCAATGGTTTAACATTAAATCTTACCATCCCTAGGAACTTAGTACTCTGGTAATCATTGTTCCTGCCTTTATAGAAAAGCAGGAACTTATAAAAGTTCCCCCATAAAGGAATATATATACCCTGCATATTATTATCTATATTGGTGTCAGTGCAGTGGCAGCCACCACAGCCACACTTTTACGAAGTAATTTTTAGTCCCTGGAATCACCTCAGTAGCATGAGGAAAAGATATATACAATAGGACTGAGTGGTGAATCTTGACAAAGTACTAAAGGTAAAAATGAGATCTACAAATTCAATTATCTTTTTGACATAAGCAGAATTTAAAGATTGAATTTCATTCCCACGGTTAATATAGAATTATAGATAAATAGATATATTCAGTGTTATCTTGTTTAGGCATTACAGATTTTTTTTTTTAAATCAGGAAGCATTTATTAAGCACTTGCTACATGACTGGTACTGTGAAAACCACTGGGGTTAAAAATGTATGAGCATGTAAGATTCACAGATTGGGAGTAACAGAAGGTAAGGGGGACAAAAGAATAATAACTAATAAAGACATAAAAGACATACCTATGGAGTCAAAGCCAACCTAAAAACAAGTGAGGGCCACGTGTGGGATGGATTTCAAGAATAGGGAAGGGTCCAGAAACTGAAGGTCAAAATAAAGGCTAAGTGAGAGGCCAGGAAAAATAGGAGAGGGAGGTGTGGCTAGAGAGTGGAACTGCAAAGTTCTGGATCTTGGAGGTGCTGCAGTTCCAGTTTATCCTGTTATCTATCTAAATTGTAGTCTTGTCCACAAGTAGGTGAAGCAGAGGATAAAGCTCTGGAATTGGACTCAGGAAGACTGAGTTCAAATACAGTCTCAGACATTTACTACCTGTGTGATCCTGGGCAAGTCACTTAATCGCTGTCAGCCTCAGTTTCCTCAACAGTAAAATGGAGATAACACCTGCCTTACAGGGTTGTGAGGATAAAATGAGATATTTGTAAAACACATCACAGTGCATAGCACAAAGTAATCACATAAATGTTTTTTTTTCCTTCCCTTCCTCCTTTTTTCCTTCTTTCTTCCCTGTCCTGAAGGCTGAAGTGATATGGAGGAGGAGGAGGTCATCAGAGTGAGGGCACAGAAGAATTAAAATATCAGGTTACTAAAGGCATCAGCAACATGAATGTTGAAATCCCTGAGAGTGATATTAGTGAAAGAAATACAGTGAAAAAAAAACACTAAACACGTGCTAAACATTGGGAGGAGGAGAGAGGAGGGGAATACTGACAACAATAAGGATAAGAATAGGTTTGCACAAACTGATTGAATAGGAAAGTCACTGAAGCATAAAAGATGTGAGTAAGGAGTGTCAGGACTCACCCTCCTAAACTTGTCAGTCCCTGGAAGTAAAAGAATGAAAGAACAATAGTGAAGTTTTCCAGGGAAGAGCCAGGTTTCTGTTAAAGCAAAAAGGATGTAGTACTGTTGGTTGAAAAGTTTGAGGATAAAGTAGAGTTTGCATTCAATAGAATAGAGTTTACAAAGGCCACTTTGGAATGATTAGGTGATAGTTAAACTGGGAAGAAGTTAGTGATTAGGAATGAAGCTGTGGATGGAAGTAGGATGAGCAGACTTCTTAAATCTTAGATAGGGAGAATCAATGTCCAGAACTAGAAAGTCAGTTTAAAAACAAATTTTTTTTAAGGTATTAGAAGCTTCTTTGACTACAGGATCCTATAGGCTCCTACCATTGATCTTCCCAGCCCCACTTGAAGATAAAAACTAGGAAGGAAAAAGCCCAAAGAGAAGCTAAATTTTCACTTAAATTTGCCCTATGTATGAAGAATTTGGTATTAACCACTTGACTGATATCTTTCCTGAGAGTAGGATTTCCTGAAATAGTATAGGTTACTGAGTGTCTGAAGAAGTCAGGAGTATTTATCACAAAGTAGGGTTTAAACGGTACAAGAAAGGGAAACCTAGGGTTTTAAAAGAAAAAATACTTTGATCAACAATTTTGATAGGGGCCAATCCTGATGGCTTTTAGTCTTCAAGTGTCTTATGGAAATGGAAGCAAATAGAATCAACCAATTTTTGAGTTTCCCTTAATCTAAACCTAATACATTGTCCCTTCATCTTCCTATACTTAAACCACCTCCTTAAACAAATTGAACCCTGACTTTGCCTGTGGATTCCACATCTTTAGCAGCCCTAGTACTGTAACCCTTTTCATGCTCGCCTTATCTCACAGGACTCAGAGTTAAAGTAAATATATTTCATATGTACTGATGATGCTATGCCATCATCACTTGATAACCTCTCCTTTGAAGTTCATTCAATCTGACCATCCTTCCCTCTCCTAATTTTTGTCTCTGACTTTGGCACCTGGTTCACAATTGTCTCTATCCATTCGCCTGCCATAATCGTTGAAAATTTCATTAATGACATTGAATACCCTGGCCTCAGTTTCTTGAACTCCTCAACACCTATGACCTCTACCTCAGCTGACCCCATTATAGTAACACTTCAGTTATCACATGAAACTGCTCCAAAATCTTACTGGGATTCCCTTGTCTGTTCTGATCTTTTCACCGCTCTCAATCCTTCCCTCATGCATCTATTTTTTATTTTCTGTTGGTTGCTTAATTCTCTCCTATTCTATGAACCATCTTCTAGCCCTTCTGAAACTTGACCTGAGAGTCAAACCTCTATTCCACTCAAATCAATTGCTCCCTTGGCTTTCCAGCCTTTCCACTTTGCTAAGTCTTCCACCCCAGATAGTTTCTACCATCTGCATCCTCTGTTCCTACTCCCAAGCAGTCAAATGCTGTTTAAGGAAACTTTTAAATGGTAATTGAGTGCTTTCCTAACTGGGCTCATGCAGCAGCAGGATAATCTTTTCTCCTTTTTTCTTATTGACCCTCTTTTATACAACAAAACAGCTATTCCAAACCTCTTCTCACATCAAACCTCAAATTCTTCCCATTTTCCTTGCCTAGCAGATAGATGATCTCACTTAGTGTTATATAAACTTTACTGAGAAAATTGAGGCCATCTGATTTGA